GAGCGGAAGCTCTGCAGCAGAAGAGTTTACTATCCGTAACCCGAATTACAGTGTTCCTTTCCCAGTGCATCCGCTTAATATCACGAGTTCTTCATACCCTTTACAAGCCAAAGACTCGGGCAACGCAGTGACAAGTGTAGTGCAGCCTGCTAGTTCCGGGAATTTGCCAATTATGTTTGGATACTCGACGGGTCAGCTCCCAATGCTGGATAAAGACGGTGCAGGGATTCTGGTCACTCATACCCAGCCTCCCTACCCGGGCAGAGGCTCATCAACCACAGGTAGGTGTCCTGTTTGCTTAATCCAGTGATCAAACTGTCGGAAAGGCGAAAACCCATGACTGAAATGTCTTTTTTTTCCTCGGCCCGTGAAGCCACCGGGAGAGGCGAAGGAAAACAGCCAGCTGGAGAAGAAGGCTCCTCTACTCTGGCCGAAGAAGCAAAAGGCGGGATGAAAGAAGTATCGGAACGGATGGAAGGAGGAGGAGGAGGAGGTAATAAAACATCATTGTCTTTCGATTTCTCGGCCATAAAACCAGGGATTGCAGCCGATGTGAAGTTTGGAGGTTCAGGGTCACGGCCGAACCTGCCATGGGTCTCGACCACTGGTTCGGGCCCACATGGACGAACCATCTCGGGTGTGACGTACCGTTACAACACGAACCAGATCAAGATTGTCTGCGCCTGCCATGGGTCCCACATGTCGCCGGAAGAGTTTGTAAGGCATGCCAGCGAGGAGTACGTTAATCCGGAATCTTCCATTGGCCTCACCGCTGCTTCTGCCCACAGTTAAACCCCATGGCCGGAAAGTCAGCCGGAAATGTTTTTGGGGGTAAGAATTGGCTGTGTGGGTTTTGTGTGATATGAACTCGCTCGGATCAAAGCTTGAGCTCCCAGGTTAACGGAGATGTATGTTTTGTAATGTCACTAAACGCTTGATCATCATCATATCTTCGCTCTCTGTGTAATATCATTGTGATTGTGTAAGTGATTTCTCTCTTGTTTTCATCGACATATTTTAAATTATTATTTTTATATTATTTTGGTTTTTTTGGGTAATTGAGTTCATGGTATATGAGGATGATGATTTATTTGACAATTTGTAAGATACCCTTTGATTTCAGTTATCCATCCATCTATGCCAATGCCCTTTCTAAGTTTTAGAGATAAGGTTTGATTTTATGGCATACCATTCGTATATTATATATAATATATGGTTATACGATATCGTAGTTGGTTACGTGATTCCATCAAAAACCGGACGTCATTTTGCAAGAAATAGACAAAAACGTGTGCCGTGAGAAGAGGGATAAAAGGATCATGCTTGTGGGCTTAAATTTAGGGATGTTGTGTAACTAAACTTAATTATTATCCTATTATCAATAACATGATTAAAAAATAGTGTTAATTAGTTGGGTTTTATTAAATTTATATCGAATAATTATTCAAATTAATCTTAATCACGCGAATATATACACATATATTCATCTTAACAAATAGGTATTATTGTGTTACGTGATAATATTATATTGCTGTATTGCTATATCTGGAAAGACAACATCACCTAATACCCACATTGTTTTCCGCCATGGAATTAATTCCCTTTCTTCTGCCTCGCTGTTTTTTAATTTCCTTTTCAACAATTATATCTATTTTAGTTTCGGATCTTTGATGTGCTGCCACGTGGATATTATTATTAGCAACTTAAGTTAGCTGTAAACAATAAAGATTAAACTCTATAGGGTGTAGATTAATATATACAAAACCATCCAATTGATTAACCGCAAAACCAATTATTTCATTTTCGGGGTAATGGAACATCACTCATTCGATCATTCAAACGCTGACTTTTTTGTCTTTGACTTTTGTATGTATGTATCTCCCAAGTTTTTTTTTATAACATTGGGAACCTCCGTAATTACCTTCCTTTGCAAACGGAGACAACTGGCCATCACTCGCGCCTAACGGTCCACCGCAGAGCTGACCACCAGACGCGCCTAACGTTCGGGCCGTAGTTGGGCTTAGACGCCTGCAGGTCAAACTCCAAGCCAACGCGCATAAGCCTACAACAAACGTGTAGGAGGTAAATCAGCCCGTTATGACAGGCTGACAGGCGAGCAGATCAGAGAAAGTGAGACGGCGAAGAATCGAACTTCCCACCTCATGGGTACTCCCCATGCTCACAACCAGCTGATCTGGGGGCTATCTCCCAAGTTTCACCTTATGAGAGAGTACAACTATATACCTCAATTTAAATTTGTTCGCATAATTTTTTTTTTGTTAACCTAGTATCAATCTCGGGGTGAGAATCAATTATATGATTTAGAATATATATTCTATCCTCAATTTTTTATCGGTTAAATTATCCAAATTTGGGTGTTGACATAATTTTATTATAATCTCTAGAATAAATAATAAATAAAAAAATGTTGAATGCGTCTAGAGCTCTTTTGTTCGGCCTTGGCTAATTTTAATTTTAGTTATAATTTTAATTTTCTCAGAACGGCATAATATTCGAAATATATATTTTTTAAATTATGTAAAACTAGATATATTCGTAGGCATAACTGAGGAATAAGAATAAAACAGAATATGCATTACATTTATATAATGGAAAAGGAAAATTCAAAGACATATGACCAACTATATAGCTCCGAACTGAGGAAATAATACATGGAAAAGAATGTAATTAAAATATGATTTTCCAAATTAAGACAGAACAGAACAGCCAAAAAGTAAAAATAAAAAAATTAAACAAAAGAGAAAATCATAAGCAATAAAGTCAAAATTATATCGAAAATTCACGAAAAGGGTCCCCATCCCATCCCTAACAAAAGCCCATTTTATGATTTTAGGACCCCCTTAATAACATTTTCCCGAGAAAATCCGATTTTCTCGTCCGATGAATCCAACTCGAGAAATCTTCCTCTTCATCTTCATATCCGTCGTCTCCTCCGGCGATGTCTCTGGTCAGTCTACTCCCTCCGGCGAAGACGATCAGAACAGAACCGGCAATCTAGTCGCCAACTTCGAACCGAGCTTAGCGGTCGTGACTGGAGTTTTGTCGATTATGTTCACTCTCACTTTCGTCCTCCTCGTCTATGCCAAATGTTGCTACAGCGATCTCCGATCAGACGCCGAAGAAGGGCAAAGCCGTGGTGGGATTTTCAACGGGCCGAGCTCGTCGAGGAGATTCTCTGGTTTGGACAAGACAGCCATAGAATCTCTGCCTTTTTTCAGATTCTCCGCTTTGAAGGGATCGAGACAGGGATTGGAGTGTTCTGTTTGTCTGTCTAGATTCGAAGACGTCGAGATTCTTAGGCTTTTGCCCAGATGCAGACACGCTTTCCACATCGGATGTATCGATCAGTGGCTTGAGCAGCACGGTTCGTGCCCTCTCTGCAGAAACAGAATCGCCATTGATGACCCCTCTGTTTTCTCCTACAGCAACAGCCTTAGGTTATTCAACCAGTCTGAGATAAGGGAAGATTCCAGCTTGGAACTTTATATCGAGCGAGAGGAGCAAGAAGGGAAGAGAGAAGATTCCGGGTCGTCGAGATTCAGCATTGGGGGAAGTTTCAGGAAGATTCTGAAGATGGGTGATAAGGAAAAATCGATTTCGGAGAGAGCCGGGAACAGAAAGAACTCGAAGATGATGAGGATGGACAGGTTCAATCACACGATTGTCGTGTCGGATGTCGTGTTCAAAAACCGGTGGAGCAACGTGAGTTCATCGGATCTGATGTTCTTGAACTCGGAGATGGTCAGTTCGATGTCCAGCGACAGATTCTCGTTTCTGGATCGATTGCAGACATCATCTGATGCAAGAAAAGTCCAGGAGCAGGAAGGAATCATACGGATCAAGGAAGAGATGGAGATGAAGAGAATGTTTGAGGACAAGCTGAGCTCGATGAACACAATAATGGCGAACCCTGTGTTTGTGTCGGAAAACAGTGACTCGGATCCGAAAACGAGAACGGTTGAGACAGGGAGAAGATCCGTGTCTGAAATCACTGCTGTTCCAAGACTCAGCGTTCTGCAAGTGACGACGAACGCGGTCGATGACATCAGCAGCGGGTCA